CGAGCGCGGTAGCACAATTCCAGTTTAGCTACTTCTCAATATTCATAAATTCCGGAACCGAATTTAATTAATTTATCTGTTATAGTTCTGCATTGTAGTTATATCTATAGCGGACATGGAAAAATCCTGAATCACCGATTTAAGTTACGTGGTTGAACCGTTTCTATAGACCCGGCTCAAATTCTTTAAATCCGGTCCCGGCCCCGGTCCACGACCACTGTTGTGCAAAGTATTAATAGAAATGGTGATTTTAAAGATAAAAAAGTCTAATTTCTATATTTGTAAAAACATGGGAAAAGAGGAAAAATAATTTGAGCTGAGTCATAAATTTGTTTGAAATGTATTTAGCTCTTCTCTGGAATAATATGAAATATGTCAAAACACAATTCTTCGACGAGACTTTTTCAAGAAAAAATACTGCGTATAAATCTCTGAACCTTTGCAGAACATTTGCTTCATTCAGCAGCTAGTGAACCTGCTTAGCACGAACATATTTACTTCCAGTAAAAAAGAAAAGTTTTCGACATTTTAATATAATGTTATTTGCCACAAAAAAAAAACCAAAAAGATGTATTGATTTTGTATAAAATCAGAAAAAAAGAATATTTCAAAGAAGTGAGGAATTAAAGTACATGACCACTGACCTGGGCGTATACAGGGATGTTAACAGGGGCGCTTAGATTTTGCTTTCCGGTGGTTGGGTGGGGGGCTTATCACTCGTTGGGGCCTTAAGGAAACCAAGGAGGAGTGAAATGTATTCTCTAATACCTAAACTATAACTAAATACTATGGCAAAAACGTTGTTTATTCACGCATAAAAACATGTTGTGAATTGAACAGGATTTTTGAATATTTTTAATAAAACTCAAACCAAGATTCGGAAAGATGTCTCCCTTTAGTTCAAAAGTATAATGTCTAAAGTTTTGGAACATATCCAAGATTAAGTTACAGGGTGTCTCAACAAAATTGGGTTTGAAAATAAACACTGTCTAACTTTATCTCGTACCTTTTTTATCTTTAAGCTTTCATAAATTACTTTTTTGATAAATACTTTTTTTTGACACCCTGTCCGTGTCCTGGGACTGGAGCAATTTTGTCGGAGAAATGCGCCAAATGGTATTTCATTCTATCCCGGGTTGTCTCGGTTAGGCTGGGTTCATCCTCCTGGGGAAATCAGGATTCAAGAAAGGGTGTTCAGAATAAATCATATTTTTTTTTCATTTTTGTTCTTTTAAGCGAAAATGCGTTCTTGTTGGCAGTGTTTAGGATCCGTTGGATCCGGAACATTTTGGCTTCTCAAAAAAAAACTAAAAATTGTAAAAAAAACTTTTCACTCCAAAACTTCAAATCTTTCATTTCATAAAAAGAAAGATTGTTAAAATATTTCCTGTCTCTAAATGGTCCACTGAGTTATATCATAAAAATAAGCAAAAAGAAGAAGAAAAATTATTACAAATTGTTTTTGGTTAAAAATAATTAGTAAAACTTAAAGAAATGTTCATGAGCTGGATTCATATCAAAATAAAATTGATCCTTATCCTTATCCTTGTTAGTTGCAATATCTCTTTCAGTAGTGTTTTTTTTAGTTTCGTTAAAAAACGACAGGAAAGAGAGTTTTTATGTTTGTGTTTTAAAATTTTCCAGTTTTTATTGTAAAAGGTCTTTTTTCATCATATCGCTTTTAGACAGATGTAAGTCTCTCTATATAAAGCTCTGAGGAGAGATAAATGGTAAAACGAAAAGTTAAAATGTTCCGATGATAAAATACAAAAAGTATAATATTATATACGCTCCCTTAATGATATTTCTTGACATCATCATAAATAAAGTATTCTCTCTCATCCTCTCTTCAACCGGGGGAAAGGGCGGATTCTCTGTATAATAGATTAAATATCTAAAATAATATATGTACGTTTACAGTGAGATCGATAAAACTGTGGAATAGAAAGCGATCCTTCAGAAATCTTTTCAGTATTTGTTTTGCTCTGAAGAAAATATTTTTACTAGTAGCTTGAATAACAACTTAATAAGGGAAATTGGCCTGTGTACACTACATAATTACCGTGTTTCATGTTCTTTTGACACTTTAAGATCACTACTTCAGTTCCTTCAGTCCATAAGTCATCTTCCTATTCCACAGTTTTATGTACATAACTGTACATAAATTCGTACGGTATACATCTTATTGTACTACAAGAATAAAAAATTATACACAGGGGCGTATACCAGGGGGGGGGGG